ATAGGTAAGAAGAGACAGGCCAAGGAAATATTGGTCCCTTATAAGTGAGAATGGAGAACTGGTAAGAACAGATACAGAGAAAGCTGAATTACTCAATGAGTTCTTCTCCCCAGTCTTCACTGGCTTGTAGTCAGCGTACCCCATCTCTCAGGTTCTTGAACTTCAGGTGGGACCTGGAGGACTGAATCTGTGAGCAGAGAGCAGGTTCTGGACCACTTGATGAAGCTAAACAACCACAAGTCTATTGAATCTGACAACATGCATCCCAGGGAAATCCCATCCCTGAGGGGAACTGACTGCTGCTGTTGGCAAACATTTGCAATCATATTTGAAAAGTGATGGCAGTGAGACCAAGTACTTAGTGACTAGAAAAAGGGAAACATTGCTCCATTTTTAAGAAGAGAAGTAAGGAAGGTGTGGGGAATTGCAAACCTCTTAGCCTGACCTCTGTGACTGGAAATGTAATGTTGCAGATCCTCATGGAAGCATTGTTAAATCACATACAAGACAGGTCATCAAGGAGGCGATCTGAGGCAAAACAGCATGGCCTTACAAAGGGCAGATCATGCCTGACCACTCTGGTGACCCTCTATGATGGAGTGACTGCAAGAGTCAGTGTTGGGAAGGGTAGATAAATATGATTAGGAACCACAATAGTACAGCCAGGACGAATATAACGCCCCCTACTGGCTGGACAATCACCCTCACCTACAGCGGGGTCCAAAAGCCAAATGGACTGTTCCATCTCACCCCCCAGAATGTATGGTTCACCCCACACCTGTAACCCTCCCCTGAACCATCAGGTGCCTGTGACCCCATTGGCCCAGGTCCTGTTCCAGCCCACCCTGGAGCCCCCTTTGATAAAGGCTCTCCGAGGGGCTGGACGTTCTCTTGGATCTTCCCCTCTCCTCCTGGAGCGTCCTCTGGGAGTCCCTGCTCCCCTCTTTGTCTCTCCCTTCCCCCATCACCCTAGGCCCAGCCACGTGCTGTGTCTGGCAGCTCGAGGCAGAGCCTCTCTGCGTCCTGAATAAACTTCATCCCCCAAGAGCAACCACAGAGATCTCGCTTGAATCTGTCCATGGAATACAAATAAACGTCTTTACAGGCTGGCGCCCATCTTCGAATACGAACCCATGGTGACCTGCAGCTGCACCCGTCTGGATGCTTTCCAGCTTTTCTACCTGTAGGACACCTTTCCATGGACACTAACTAAATAACCAGGTATTTCCTCGCCATCGCGGTCGCGAGCACGGCATTTTGCTGCTAGGCAGTGAAGAAGCCCGAGCTCTTTAGAAAGTCCCGAAGCCTTATTCTCCGAGCACAGGCGATCGCCGCGATTCCGCGGCGACCCAAGGCTTTGTGAGGAGACTTGCTGCGGCACGCGGCCACGTGCACAAAGCACAGGCGAGCACTGCTTAGCACTGCCCGCGCTGAAGCTCTGAAGAAACCCCGCGGTGAGCCCTCAGCACCGACTGCAGTAAACGTCGGAACCTGACAGAGGACCCCGCTCCTGCGACACCGAGGTGAGCCACACTGGTTTAAAAATGGGACAATCCCACTCTACATCTGATCGAGATCTCTATAAGCAACTTAACCATTTCTTACGTAGCCATAACAGTAATTTGCCTAAAAAAGAGCTACGGAAACTCCTAGAATGGATCTTACTTAAGTTCCCAAATGCCGAGCGCTCTGCTGTGTTTTGTGGAGACTTTTGGGAGTCCGTGGGGCATACACTTTTTAATGACATTTCACGGCGGGACCCCTATGCTTGCAAGTTACTTCCTGCTTATAGAGTGTTAGCAGAGCTCTGCGCTTCTCAAAAGCCGCTGATAACAGCCAAACCGCTCCCTAACGTGGCCCAACAATCCCTGCCGGACCACCCGCCCCCCCCGCGCTGCGGCGAAAATGCCGGCGAAGCTGCTGGCGACTCGTCGGTTTCTGAGCGAGCGGCGCTCCCTGCCGCAGCCGCGCCCTCCCTCCCCCACAACCCAGAACCCGCCCTTGCGGCCACCTCCTCCCCCCCAAACTACTCCGCGGGCCCCACCTCCCCCCCGGCCGCCCCCCCAGCATTGCCTGTCCCGGCTATGGTGGCTACTATAGCCGAACTTTTACAAAATCAAACAACAGCCATTTTGCAAGCACAAACCCAATCAATGGCTATTTTGCAAGCACAATCTCAAACGTCAGCTGCGATTTTGCAGGCGCTGCATACGCTCACCTCCGCGGCCGCCCCACTGACCCACCCGGAAGCCCCCTGGTCCGCCGAACATGCCGCCCAGGCGCCGGCCCTGGGCCAGGCGGCTCCCACTCCCGCGGCCACGCCCTCCCTCTCGCGCGGCCCGGACCCCGCCCCCGCCCCCGCGGCCGCCGCACCACCCATCCTTCCCAGAGAAGTCCCAGCACCCAGCGCCGTACCCCCGCTGCCCGCCCACCTCCTGCACTCGCAGCCGGCCCCCCCGGCAGACGCAAACCCGCCGTCCCCACCCCCCCACCCCCCCGCGGCGCCGCAGCCCCTGCCTCTGGCTACAGAGCTCCGGAACCCCCCGCCGCCGGCACCACTTCCTGGTTTCCCAAACCCATCACCATATCCCTCCGCATCCCTCCCTCCGCCTGATCTTCAGACTGCCGCAGCACCCAATGTCACAGCTACAGGAAATCCTTCCACAAATCCCAGTTCCCCACAGGTGCTGCTGCCCACGAGCTCCACCCCTCCTGCTCCTCTGCCTCAGCTGGCAGCAGCCCCTGCCTCCCACACTAGCAGCTCCTCACCGCACCCTGGCGAAAACACCATACATCAACAACGTGAAGGCAACAATGTGACTGCACCTTCGACAAACAAAGTACAGACAGAGAACTATGTTACCCCTGCAAACTCTAACCTTTCTATCCCAGTCTCACCAAATTCTCAACAAAGTGCCAACAATCTTCTACTGACAAACTGCCTTGAAATCAAATATAATAGCTGCAAAGACAACAGTCTGCATCCCCAAGCCTTACAAGTGGTATTCAGCCAGCGAACAGCTGCCCCCTCTCAGGAGGTGAAAGAAGTCCTGACAGTATTCAAGGACAGTGATATCTCCTTTTCCTATTTTACACCACAGTTAAAAACTACCATAGAAAATACACGCCAAACCCTAAAACGCATCTTACTTCTAAAGAAAGGAGGAGTAGATCAGGCTACACCTCAAAAGAGGTTGAATAAGGCTTTATATGCTCACAATTTTCTAAGTAGCTCTGCAGGAGAGCCTCGTCTCCCAATTTATAGACATTTCCTGAACACCAAAAAGTAAAAATAAAAGGGCACCCCCCAGCTTTACTCAAAATCTTAGATTCAGGACATATACAAAGTCCACACAGTCTTCTAACATGGGGAAAAGGTTTTTCTTGTGTTTCCACAGGTGGATGACTTAAGTGGGTCCCAGGAAAAAATGTGAAGCCTTACCATGCACCGAAATCCGCTGACACCCCCACACCAGACAGTACTTCTGCAAGTACAAGCCAAGAAGCCAGCACCCAGACCTGAACCACGCTGCGTTATCGAGAGAAAAATGGACTTTTTATCGTTTATATGCGTGCATGTTGTTTTTGTTCTTCCGTTTCAGTTTTTGTATTGAAGTTTTACTTGTAATTCAACCAAGGACAAATGCCGAGTAGCTTTAGCCAAGCCTGCAAGCTCTAAGACCACCTATATATCTAACACAAACCCTAACAAACCTTTTTCAACCCGTTTAATTATAAGACCTTTTCAAAAAAATTCTGACAATGCCTCCCCTACTATAATCAGTGATTTAATAACAATAAGGCCATCTCAGCTATACAGTTGACTTAATGGTTTGAGCCTTGCACCTTAGCTAAAGGAACTCTGTAAAATAAGCTTGACTGTTTCAGTAGTAATAAGTATAGTTCTAGTAACAATACCCTGTACACCTCCAAGTGTGCAGAAAATAGTTGTTAAGTCAATATTTAATATTTCAAATGGTTCAGTGAAAAAAGGGGAGATGTTGGGAAGGGTAGATAAATATGATTAAGATCCACAATAGTACAGCCAGGACGAATATAACGCCCCCTACTGGCTGGACAATAACCCTCACCTACAGAGGGGTCCAAAAGCCAAATGGACTGTTCCATCTCACCCCCCAGAATGTATGGTTCACCCCACATCTGTAACCCTCCCCTGAACCATCAGGTGTCTGTGACCCCATTGGCCCAGGTCCTGTTCCAGCCCACCTTGGAGCCCCCTTTGATAAGGGGTCTCCGAGGGGCTGGACGTTCTCTTGGATCTTCCCTTCTCCTTCTGGAACTTCCTCCGGGAGTCCCTGCTCCCCTCTTTGTCTCTCCCCTCCCCCATCACCTTGGGCCCAGCCACGTGCTGTGTCTGGCAGCTCGAGGCAGGGCCACAATGCATCCTGAATAAACCTCATCCCCCAAGAGCAACCACAGAGATCTCGCTTGAATCTGTCCATGGAATACAAATAAAAGTCTTTACAAGTCAGCATCTTCCAACCAGTACAATTTGATGCACATCAGTGCTGTGAGCGATCAAGTAGGCAGCTTGGTCCTGGTCTGAATTCCTAACTCTTCTGCACTGTGGCAGTCCTAGTCATGGAGTGTACAGAGTAGAAGAAATGTATAGTTCAATACAAAAATTTAAAACAGTTTGTCTTGGCCCAGTAATTAATTTTTTGGATCGCCTCTGTCTTACTTGAAAGTAACAGTATTCTGGGTACACCACTGTTTTTCAGTGATTTTGGTAGTCTTTGGATGTCAGCTGGAGTCTATAGCCTGTACTGCCATTAGGAGCATTAAAGGTGAGGCTCTACAGAGGATATCATGCATTACTCTGCTGTGATACAGCAGAGTAGTTGTAAACCAACTTCACTTTTCACTGCCACCTTGTGAGAAAACTGTCAAGAAGAGAAGATATTCTGGGTGATATCTGGGGTAAAGTGTAAAAAAATGGGTGATGTGAAAGGACAAGATGCTTTCCAGTAAGACATTGGTGTTGTTGGCACAAAAGCAGAAAGGATCTTTCTCCTTTTATTTTCAGCTGGTCATAGTATGGAAACACAATATAATGAGAAATGGCTCAGCCATAGGAAATACTCAGTATAAGCTCTTATAGATAAGTGTAACATAGAAAAGGATGAGAAAAGCAGCAGGGAAGCTTCTAGCCTGTCACCCTTATAACCCTCAGCACCATTGCAAGGATCTCTTTAGATTTTCCAGTGCATTTTGTAACAGACATTAGGTGCCTGAGCCCATATTTGATGGTTGGAATTAACTTTAGTTTTGGAATTGTTAGTAGGACCATTTTTGGCATAAAGTGGTATAATTTTTGATGCTAGTAGCAGGGCATACAGTAGTACCCCTCTTAGTAGGGTGTGCTATCTGTCCCTATGTCATTCAGAGGTGTGGGATGTCCAACGGAATCTATGAGATCGTCTACTTGTTGCCCGGGATTCCCTGTAGAGATCCCATTGTGCCTGATGACGGTGCTCACTCCTCCTCAGGCGGACTGGGACATCCCGTTCATGCCTTGCAGCTTGGTTCCAACCACGAGAAGTTTCAGAAGCCAAGTCCTGAGCCCTGCCATGCTGCTGTCTCCTGCTGCTTGAGGGGTCAAAACTCTGGGCCTGCTGACCCCTGCTGTGGCCATCACGGTTCTGCCTCCGGGATCTGCTTCGGCCCCTTTCCCAGTCTCTGGCACGGCTATTGCTGCGCGCTCTGCTGGAAGATAAGCGGTGCCTGTGGCCTGTGGAATGATGCCGCCTCCTGTCTGAGGAGTGGCGACGATCTCTCCTTCCTCGATTATGTCTGGTGGAGCTGGTGTAGTGCCTTATTGAGTACACCTCGTAGTTATTGTCTCCCACTTTGCGGAGGAGGTATCGGAAAGGCACCCGGCAGATCGGACAAGTAGGTCTATTGCGGGACCACTCCAGTATACAAGGAAAGCAGAAAGCATGGCTGCACCAGCTCACTGAGACTTGGTTGTTGATGATGTCCAAGCAGATTGGGCACATTTGATTCTCTGAGTTTTGCAGAGGCTCAGCCAGGAGCACTTGGTTGTTGCTGGCGGTAGAGGAAGAGGTGCCACCTTCTGCCAAGCCCTTCTGCAGCGCCATCTGGCACTGGAAACCAGAGACACAAGGCTCCTGGCCTACCCTGGAGACACAATCCAGAGATGCAGTCTGCAGACAACAGCCAAGCTGTCTACATCAAGCACTGAAGAGCTGCCCCTTCTACCTCGAAGCTGTGCTTGAGCTGCCACAAGGGCTAAGGACTATACTGGGGCAGACAAGTGACACCAGAGGTGTCTCTGCATGTGACAGCTCTCAGGGCAGGGCAGTGACTGACCTCTCTGACACGTGCACACAGGAATTGTGAAGGTGTAAAAGCAGTTTCTGGCCTCTCAGCAACAGCAGCTGAAGCTTGGGAATGTGGCAGGTTGGGACCAGCTCCCCAGGTACTGCTGCTATTACTGCACTGGAGATCCTCTCTATGCCCTCAGAAGGCAGCCAACAGGATGGGGGTCTGTCCTTCCCCCACCCACCAGTGTCTGTCCTCTTTGGAGGAGGGCAGGCATTCTGGCCCTTCAGGGCTGCTGCACACTACAAAAGGGGTTGATGTCACACATGTCACAATGACTTTCTGGTGACCATAGAGCTTTCAGGAACTACACATAGAACACACAGGCTCTGGCCTCAGGGGATGAAATGTTCCCAGATTCACTAGGCTGCCTCGCTATTAAGGAGTATGCCCTTTCATTATTTTTGATATAAAGTCACAAGTTTCACCATTCATATCCAGTACTATGTTTTGTTAGAAATAAACCATATTGAGGCATTTCCTACTCTGTTGGCTTTGCAGGTTTGATTCAACTCCTCTTTCTCAGCACTGAGGAGGCTACACCTGGAGTACTGTGTCCATTACAGGACTAACCCCCATGAGAGAGGGGTGGACATACGGGAGAGCACCAGAGAAAATTCTCAAGGATAATGAAGGAACTGCAGCATCTCCCCTGTTAGGAAGTGCTGAAAGTGCTGCCTACAGACTCTTCAATCTGAAGAAGACTTTGAATGGGATATTTTTTCAAGGGATATCCATACCTGATAGGAGAGTGCAAAGAAGACTGAGCAGGCTCTTTTAAGGGATGCCCAGTGACAACAGGCACAAAGCAAAACACTGCAAGGCAAAAACCTTCCCTCTGAACATCAGAAAACCTTTTTTCTGCTGTCACAGTAACTGAGCAGCAACACATCTAGCCCAGGGTGCTCATGGGATCTCCTTCCTTAGAGAAACTCGGAAGCTGTGTGGCTCTGGTCCCTGGCCACCATCTTTCAGTGGCTCTGCTTAAGCAGGGGAGGTTGGACCAGTTGACATCTGGCAATCTTTTTTCAGCTCAGTCACATTGAGGTGATTCTATGACTCAAAGCACACTTGTGCAAGCTAAGAAAGCATGTTGGGGTTGCCTGATGTGGTAAGATTTCAATGCTTCTTTATGCTCATGAAGAGTCAGGTTTGCCTCGTAAAAGTCAGTCATCCATGAATCTGCGACTTTTTACCTCCAGGAGCTTTATCAGTGACTGTACAGAGAACAAACAAGCAAATTGAAAGCATGAGGGCAGTATAGGGTTAAACATCTCCTTAAAGGTATTGGTATGTTTTCATAGCATGCATTGCACATCGCCATAGTTTTCCCAGGTGCTTCTCAAGTCACAGTTTACAACTCATTCAACTTGCTGCATGTCAGTGCTGTGAAAGAAAGTGGGCACCTTGATCCTGATGTGAATTCCTTGATGACAGCATCCTAATCCTTCTGTTTTGTGACAGTACTAGTCATGGACTCTATACACAGAGAGTATAGAGTCAAGGATGACTGTAATTCAGTACAAAAATTGAATACAGATTGTTTTCAATGAAAGTTTGGATCACCACGGTCTTTTGACAAAGCTCCTCTTCATACCAGTCTCACTGGAAAGTAAAAATTTTCCAGATTCCCAGCAAGACTGTTGAAACCTTATCTTCACACACTTCCAAACTGAACCCTGTGTGATCAAAGATACAGGCCAACAAAAGGTGCTATTTAGGCCTTCATGGTCCCTCAAACAAGTGGAATTATCAGCACAGATTAATATCTGCAATTAAACCTGCCTACTCCTCATTCCTGAGCACATCTTACACAGGATGGTTTTCATTGTTCTGTGTACTGGCCTCTCCAAAATGATGAAGGAGAGATGTGACTGGTATCCTGGGGACAGCATCAGGACTATTATAGAGCATGAATGCTGAAGTCCTAGTAAACAAAATAAACTCAGTAACCAAGTGTTTTATACCAATTGAAACCAATTGCTCTTATCAGGTATATTACCTCAATGAGAAAGGATTGATGAAAAGGATTGCCAATTTATATAATGACTATTCTAAGTAGTGCCTGTACCAATACCTATTAGTTGTATCCAAACGCAATTGTGGATACAACTTCGTACAGCAGCAATTACAAAGGAAGGCAATGTACTTTCCCCACTGAAATTCATAAAGTAATCTGGGATAATTCAAATAAATTTCAAAGAAATTTTCCGGTTTAGTGGCATCTAGTTAATTTAATCTATGACCTTGCCAGCTAGTAAAGATTTTACTCTAATACATAGTTCTTCAGCATATATCACATATCCATTCATTGCACTGGGATTAAATAATTGTGGAATTATTCCCTATCTGATAGCACAGAATATGGGTCCAGCAAAATGGGAACAAATAACAAGACATTCATGTTGATGCTTGCATTGCAAGGGAACAACAAGGACTTATTGGTGCAAGTAACACCATTAATCTTTACACTGAACAAAATGCTTGTCACTTTAAAATCCATCCTGATGAAACCTTTGGAACTCTGCTTATAAACATTGGAAAGAGATGTGTTTTTATGAGAATTATTCCTAATTCCATATTGAGAGACAACATCTTGACAGAAATAAGCAAACATCTGTGTTCATAATTTTATCTAAATTAGATGATTCTGTCACTAACCATGAAGTGCTACACATCCTGTCAAGATTTACTACCCACCCATATTGGTATGAATGTTGCACTGGTGAAAAATCTGCTGCAGCACAACAACATGTGTTGGCTGCTGGAACACATCTGAAGCAATGGACAATGGACACAGAACTTAATCATCATTCATTCTGGTTTAGAAGAGGTACACTATACCTTGGAAAGAATGAAGAAAGATGGATAACATCACTAGTGGTGTTCAGCTGGTCACCACTGTCTTAGGTTGGAAATGCAAGATGTGTCCAGGGGTGTGTATTCTATTGCCATCTGTTAGAGGTGGGGCAGTCATCTTCTGTTAATTGGGACACCTGTTAAAACCAGGTGGGGCAGTTTTCTTTATCTCTTCCACAATCCATCCTCTCTTTGGGAAGATATCTTCTGTTAATGGGCCATTGAGTGTCACTGCATGAGTGACAAAATTACGTCATCCCACTGTGAGATGCTCCGTCCAGGGGGAGGAGGCAAGGATTCCTACCTGACCGTTGCTATAATCTGACATTTCGAACACCACAGGCAGCCTTTTCCCACTGGATTCCCAGAGGAGCAGCTTTCTTTTCCACTGGCTTTCCAGAGGAAGACCAGGCCCATCTACACCACCCCTGGACCTCCAGAGGAAAACTACACCCCTCTACAGGTTCACTGCTTCAAAAGAACCACACCTGTCACTGCAGGAGGGCTACAGCCACCATTTAATGGGACTCCTACCAACACCCTGACCCACATGGTGTCAGGTCATATTCCGACTCTGTCAGTGCTGTTTTGTATTACTGCTTTTTTTTTCCCCTAATAAATTACTGTTATTCCTACTTCCATATCTTTGACTGAGACACCTTTAATTTCAAAATTATAATAATCTGGGGAAAGAGCGTTTACATTTTCCATTTCAAGAGAGGCTCTTGCCTTCCTCTACAGACAATTGTCTTTCAAACCAAGACAACCACCAAGAGCAGGAATTCTAAATATAATGTGGCACATTACCAATAATTTTGTTGCTTTCTGTCATGTTAAGCTTATTGTTAAATATTGTTATATATGTTAGAGTTTGCCTACTAGAACTATTGCATGCATCTCCTCAATAGTAATGTTCTATCACATTCAACAAGGCTTTAAAAATATTATATCTGGTAACCTGATCATTCCTTCCATTTTAAACTGAAGCATAATATATCTGTTTATCTACAGAGGCAAAAGAGTGACCACACCATCATTCACTGAAGCAAGAGAGAGATTGACTTTATTCATGGATTGTGCTGGTGTGCTGGTGCTGGGGGGAAACAGAGTGACAGACAAATCCCTTCCAGACTTCCTTGCCTTCCCAGATGTCCTAAAATAATTGGTATAAAGCTCTGAAACTTGAGGGGTAGGCAAATGACACAGTAGATGAAGAGCCATCCAGGGATTAGTCAGTGAACCCCATGCATTACAACTGTTTCAAGTTCAATTTTTGCCAAAGTCAAGTTTTAGTAGCAAAAACTGACTTTTTCCTTCCTTTGAAACTCCATAAACATTAGGGTGAGCAGCAGGAACTGCTCTGCAATTTTAAAAGCCTTCCAAAAAAGTTTATGGAGTTTTTATGCCCAAATCCAGATTGTGTCTAATTATTTTCCTCTATCACACAACCTGTTCAAAATATATGCTTCCAATGATCACCTCCAGAAGAATGAAAATTCCATATTTTTTTCTCCAGGAAGGCTGTTACAGATTGCATTACATAGTTCCCTTTTTTCCTTTTGTTAAATTAAAGCAATATCTTAAGTATCTTGAATATAAATTTCTCTTTCCTCACTTGCTACTAGGTCTGAAGAAAAAACAAGAGATGGTCTTATTTCCTTAGCAACAGAGTCAGGTGTGATTTATGCCACTGTGTGCTCCTGCAGCTGTCTCCAAGCAACAAAACAAACTGCAGTGCCAACTCTTGTAAGTACAATATGTGCAGGAGGCTGAGGGAAAACTTTGGAACCAAAATACCTATCCTCGGCATCAAACCGGAGGTAAGACTGAACAGACATGTAGTTTTCCTAGAAAAATAAATAAATCAAATATTTTAAACATATCAGTTCAGTCTGACAAATGCTCAGCATGCAAAGAGTAGTCTATTTTAAATCAGTCTATGTTTAGGAGACAGCTGTAGATGTGTCTTAACACTTTACCAAGGTTTTGCCTTAGCTTATGAAAGTGGTACCACTTGTTTGCTGTCTCTGAGCTCAGGGGAGGCTTCTCAGAGTCTCTGCACAGCAAGAGCTCTCATGAATTGCATGGAAAAAAATCAGTAATAATTTGCTGTTAAAGTAGTTGCCAAAATTTGCCAAACTTAATTTGGCATTTCAAAGCTGTTTCCTCTTTGAAGTCAAGAGGCTTGCATCTACAATGTATAATGTTGGCAAACACTGTGTCTCTAAATAGCAACTTTAAAGCTAGTGAGGTTTGCCAAATGTAATCATGATAGATAACACAATTTCCTTGAAAAAAATTACAGTTTTCGTTAAGGTGAAATTTGCTTTGGAATCTGAGGTTCCATGAGAAAAAAACTGCAGTTTGTGCATCAGTCTCCACAAGCCAATACCTTTTAGCTGCTTGTCAGGTGCAGGTCTAAGACCTGGGGGTGAAAGCAAGCAACCCTCCCTTGTGTAAATATTTAATCCCCGCTGCTATATTACTCTGCTATATACTGGAAATCCATAAAACCTCTGAAATGCTGAAATTTCCCCACTGCAGGAGTCAGTGTACCCATGTTTCAAACCCCTGAGTACATTCGGTCCGTGCCAGCCTGAATGCAGAGGAAGAGTGGGCACCACCCCACGCTGGAGTTTCCCTGCCATGTCAGTGTGAACTTGCCGGGTTCTTTCAGCCTTTGAGTAATGGAAAATACCCACAGGCCAGGGTCTTCCACTCCTTGTTGGATGCAATACTGTCATCCATGGCTTGCAATACCAGCAAGCATAGGGGGAAATGTCACTGTCCTCCAGAGCCCAGGCTAGCTCAAAGATAGTCCAGTGGCAATTGCAAGAGTGGGGAACCAACCAGGTTAGGGCATTCCCTGAACCAGAACCGCTGAGCCAAATGCCCAACACTGGGGACCCCTGGAGATGTGATGAGGATCAGATAAAGGAGACAGGAGAGGCTCTCTTGCATTGCGAAATTCAGCAGGTTTATTGGGTGAGTACACAGGAGATGAGAGCCGAAGGGAACACAGGCTAGTAGAGCCTTGAGTGCAACTTTGCAAGGTTTTTTAAAACATCACAAAACAGGTGGTGGACACAATGAGACAATAAATGAACAACTCTTAGGGTGTGTTTTCAGGGATGCCACAAATCAGGGTAAGGGGAGGAAAGATGGTTCGATCTGGGATTGGTCCCGGAGGTGAGGAATGGGGAAATTTCTAGAACAATGGGTAGGGTTTAGTTTGACAGACACATCAAAGAAGCTGGGTTGCCCTGACCAGCAGGGAAGAGTCTGAAAGGAAGGGAAGAGATTCTTTGAGGGACAGCTGGATAGGAAGGTACAACTTAGGGAGAACATGGGGAATAACAGAACATACCACTTTAACAATCTACCTAATAGAACTTAGTAAAATAAACATGAACCACATCAGGGAAAGGCTTTTTAGGGACCAGATTCAAAATGGCATGAAGATCTCTTAAGAACTGGGTTGCTGGGGCCCGGTTTGTATTACTTCTGGCAGTACTCATCAGGGTTCAGCCCAGCCTGATAACCAGTTAACAGCAGTTTCTGCCCTTCCCAGGCAGAAATCAATTTATCATCATGCTTCAAACTTTCAAGTTTCCAATTCCTGGGCTTTTACCTAAGCAGTTGTCCTCTGAAGCCAACCTGCCTAATTTCAGAACATTGGGCAGTAGCCACCTCGCCTCCTTGTATTTGTGAAAATTGCTTGGTTTTTTTTAATATGTTTGTCCTAAATGGTTTCCTTTTTTCCTTTTCCTTTTTCTCTCTCTCTAATTTCTTTTTTTGTTTTGTTTTGTTTTGTTTTGTTTTGTTTTGTTTTTTGCTTGTCTTTGGGCCTCGTCCTTTAGGAAAAGGAACAGCAGTCTTATAGCAGAACATTTAGAGCATTTCCTACTTCCTACTTTTTAAACCATCCCCCTTTACTTCATATATTTGTACTGAATTTAAATGTCATGTTTCTGTAAACATTCTCTAGAAGAGCTCTTGCTGAAACATTTTTATGATACTCTACCAAAATTCTCATCATCTGGCAGCTGTTCCTTAATTTAAAAAGAGCATAAGGCTGTAATGCATAATGTTGATTTTTTTTTTTTTTCCTAGTAACATTTTGGCCTGAAGTTTGTAGATTGTATAAGCCTGGATTTATGCTGAATATTGGACAAAAAAAAAGCCTTAAGGATTTGCTAGTTGTCTGCACATGCACACTCCCATTGGCACTATTTCTGTAGATCAGGTGTCACTGCAAGTTTAAATATTTAAAAAGAAAATATACTATATATTTGAGACATTATGCACTACCAAAATCAGGCTTGTTCTCCCATCCCTTTTTTTCTACCCAATGCAATCAAACACAAGATTTTACATCAAAAAGCAATCCCTAGGAGCTTAAAGAAATGTTACCTGGCCCTATCTCTAAAAAAAATAAATATGAGTCAAATTTCTTTTATGAGCTACAAAAAATTTTAATCATATGAATAGCATCACCAAAACCTCCATGTCTGGTGCTGTCAAAAACTTTCAATAACTTTTACTGTCATTTGAGATGGAAATTCCAATTTCCAAATCCATTTTATAGCATGTATCTGTCTCCTACTCTCTGTGGTGAGGCAGGCTGCTTCCCATTGTAAAATGGCACAAGGTGAAAGAATTAGAAGCTGATTCCCTCTCAAATACAAGGAAAACCTACCTGGGTCTCCCATATAGTCCCCGAAGTGTCTTTAGGTCCTTCAAGAAAAGTGAAAATTATGAATGTCCCTCTTGAATGTATAAATACATGGATATGAATGAGGTTTTTTGGTATAAAACCTCTTTGAAAGGAGAACCAGACCTGTGGAAAATACAAACCCATTTCAAATGTTTTAATACTTATCTGCTTATTAATTGTATAAGTAGTTGTACAAAATTTTATATACTTTTAATATGAAGTGTGAAAGTATCAAAATGGAAATAAAACTCTGTTTTATGCTTTCCCTGGATGCAGTTTCTTATACTTAAAAGAATGAAAAAAGTGCTTCCAGACACCTTATTTTTGGTTTGGATGGTTGGGAGTTTTTTTTTTTGCTTTGATAATCCCTCCTGCAGGAGTATTTAAAGGATGACTTAGAACTGTCAATTTTTTTGTTATTCATCAGCAGGCTACCCTTTTCATTAGGTATTATGTCTCATGTACACTTGTTTGCTTCTAGGAAGCTCATTTTAAATGGCATATCTCTGTACTTGTTCATTATTTTACTTAAAATAAGCACCCTGCAATTGTTAGAGCTAAGTTTTTTCTTAATCTTTTAACTTTTCATTTGTTCATAAATACCAATTTCTTCAGTGTCCTAGTGAGGCTTTTCAGTCTATGTTTAGTGCTGCATAGTCTGACTATGGGATATTAAAAGACTGATTTCTACACTGCCTTATACTAGTCCTTGTAGTGTCGCCATGTCCACCCAATGTCCACTTTGGTCTGCCCGACCAGCGATGACATGGCTGATGGCAGGGGACACTCCCCTGTGCCTCCAGGAAGTTTGGGGAGCGGCCAGGGTTGAGCACTGACACGGTTGGCTCCAATGGGAGGGACGGAGGGCAATCGCAGAAGAAATGGCTGACTCTTTTCTGGGGCAAAGTCTCTGGGTTTATTAAGAGCTCCTAAGAGTCCTGACCCTTAGGAGAGCCAACAGGCGAGAGCCCTGAAGGGCGCTGTGCAGCAGTTTATAAATGCGGGTCGTAATGGGAAGGGATCACCCTTCAACCAATGAGGGGTTTTGGGGGAGTGGAAGTTGGGGGACCAGACGGATGCAAAGGCCAACAAGTGGGAACCAGGGGAGCGACCCCTGGTCCTTGCCCAGTCACTTGACACACTGGGTAGAGGGTTCTGGAGGAGTGGGATGGGGAGTCAAGTGATGCACAAGGTACCAGGGTGGGGACAGGGGAATGAATCAGCATTTTCCAGGGGTGCATAGGCAGGAAGAGGGTGATTGGCATAGAAGGAGGAGAAGAGGAATGACATATAAGGAAAGGGGTGGTTTTAGGGCAGAACTATTGGGAAAACTAGGGTGTACAGGAATAAACCATTAGAACACAGGTAAAAATAGATTAACACAATACAACATTGTACAACTAATTAAATTTAGAGATTAAACAGGTTGTCAGCAAGTCTGCATGTTGCAGTTCTCTTAGACTTGGAGGTAGTCTTTTCCATCAGAATGCTGCAATATCGCTTCAATTCTAGGAGCAAGTTGGTGCAAAAGAGTCATGACTGAATCTGAGAAGCCTGGGAGGAAGATGAGTTTAAAGCAACCCAGACACAGACATGAGGTCTGTTAAGAAATTGTGGCCCACAAGTCTGGACAGCAGCATCAGGGGACCCAAGAACCAGCCAGCAACTCCAGATCGGTGTTCTGCACATCCATCCCTCTCCTCTCCTTAAAACTCCTGAAGCAGACTTAAGGTCCACCAGACACCTCCTCTCCCTGTAAATCCACAAAGCTATAGTTTGTCATGAGGGGAGAGGTCAAGAAAAGAGCACTGTCATATGACCCCTCTCTTTGTTGGACCAAAAAGGTCAGATGTGGTGATGGCAGACAAGCACCCCCTCTCACCGAGTGAGTCAGTACAACTCAGGAGAGAAACAGTACACAGGCTGTGCTTCTGAACCCTTCAAGGCAGCTCAACATTGGACTCTTTATGTCTCAAAATCTGCACTTTCTGCTTTTCTTTCTTTTCCCATTGTCGTAGACATGAAAAAGCATCAGTGAAATGTCTGTGCTTGACATTTCTGAGCTGATTTTCCAGCTCTTGTAGCAGCAGTTAAATATGTATATGGCAGTTTGGAGAGGGGGAGGGGAGGTTTGGGATTGGTTTGGTTTGTTTTTTTCTTTTATTTAACTTCAATTGAACTGTGCTGCAGATTTGCAAATTTCTCTCAATGACGTACAAATTCTTTCCTGAACATTTTTCTCCAGTATATTTGACTTGAAAAAGTGCCTAATGAAATGGTCTTCTGTGCCTGCACCATAAACACACATTAGGCCCAGAGGTACCAATTCCCAGCTGATACGCAAAACCCATCTCCAAGCTCTTGCTTCTTTACTCACTGTCTAAGAGAGTAATTTCTCATTCCCTGATGAAGCTTTAACCAGTAAAGGATCACAATGGCTCCATTTAAAATTTCCCTAGGTAGCAATAAAACATTATTAATCCCTGCTCCCTCTCTCATCCCAGATCAACTAACAGCCATCATAAGCACAGCAAACTGGGCTGTTTGTCTATGCTTCAGCTCATGTAGGAATAATTTTCTGTTTGATTCTTCAATCAGATCTGCAGACTTTCCATCAGCTGCCTTTTTTATTCTCAGCCCACACAAGACAGTAAAATTGTCATCTTTTAAAAGCAAATATTGTACCTTCCCAGTTACATTTTCATTTAAAAAAGAAATCAATAGAGTTTGCAACTGATAACCAGATTATGATTGCTTTTAAGATTCTGCTATCTTTCCCATGAGATAATCAGACAGCACAACAAAATACATCTATTTATTATGAGGAAAACTCACATATTCAAACAGCCCACTTTAAAAGGGGTTATAAATGAGATTTAGGATTTTAAACAACCTGGGTAACTTTCTGTCCTCTTAATTTCCAGTGAATTCCCATTAAGTCTTTCTTCCCTGAGAAAGGTTTTTAAGAATGTTTCAAGACTTTTATTTATGTACTTACTTATGGGTATGCAAACACCTACTCATATAATTAAGAAACTTCTTTTAGTATTTCTTTTTCAGAAACTAAAAAGAGGTGAGCTACTTTGTTCTCTGCACAGCTTATCTCAAGACATCCATCTCTGCATTATCCCTCTCTATAATCTTCACCACCTTCCTAAACGCAAGCACTGATCCCTGCCTTAACACACCTGTTCTGCAATAGACCCAAAAGCAGAAGAAAAGAGCTTCTCTAAAATTATTACCTCAGTGCCCTAGCACACTTTGGCTTGCAGCATAGGGCTGTTGTGCTTTCACAATACAGGTGAAATGTTGTCACTCTGTTGGAAAGGATAGTGGATGAAAAAGAAGACAGAAGATGCATGCAAATATATTTTGCATAGGTTTCTGTAACACTTTAAAACACTGTTCATTGGATGTTTCTACTTAAGTCTGAACAGATTCACTGAGGATTTTTGTCATAAAGAAAAGTTGGGTCTGAAGCACAGTATTTTCATGCTTTAATGCTACATTTCATTGAAAAGATTCAGGTGTAGATGTCCTAACTGTGATTATCTCCAGCTGAGGACATGAAAAGGCTGAGTGAAGGCATTTGCCATCCTCCCAGCATGTGGCATATGATTCCCCTCATTTCTTGAACTCTCTGGCAGTGACTAACAAAGAGAGTCATGATGCAACATTGAACTACCCTACAGCATGGCCCAGCCCTCAGTGCCAGCAACAAAACTGAGTGCCAAACTCTTCCTTTCACTTAATAACCTTGCTGGAAAGCTATAGTGCTTTATATGGATAAAAATAGTAAAATTATAACAGTCGGACCTCTGATAGGTTTTCTTTCTTTTCCTCTTCTCCCCTACATAGTGTTCTGCTTTCTTGACTGCTGATATTACTATAGGCACCTAATCAGAATCAGGCTAATCCCATTGCAATGGGAGCAGTACTGTAATGTTAGAAAAGGCCAGAAAGCCACCCTTCTGGAAGCAGCAGGTTTTCCTGGAGTTAGAGACAGCTTTGGTGCTAAAGACCCCAGAGTTAAGCCACATACATCCAACTCCCCAGATGGAACAAGGTCATCAGAGTACACACTCTGTTAGAAACACTGCAAGCTGTATATGTTAGAGCATTCTGCTCTCTGGCCCAAGTCAGCCCTGCAGTGTTAAAACTCAAAGGCAGGTGAGGGGAGCGCTGCTGGCTCATCACCTGCATCACTGCTTAGGGGGCTGCATGGACTCTGGCCACGCTCAGGGTTACAGCTACTTTTACATTCATACATCCTCAGAACTGGCTTAATCAGAGGTGCAGGTGCAGGTTAAAGTTTATTCAATTTTAGAACTGCTTGTTCCAAGCAATTTGGTATCATTGTGGGCTCTGACCTGCAGTGGTTTCCAGCACAGCCAGTGAACCAACACTGCTCAGCAGCTGTGCACAGTCCCACTGCTGCACGGCTACGAATGTTGCTCTTGTCGTGCTGCGGCTGGGAGGAGCAGATCCCTGATGTGGGACATCCTGGCGAAAATAGATATACACTCAAGCTCCATTTTCTCCTGCGGTGCTCTGGCTGCTTAGGAGTGTTAAGAACGTTTCACTGCTACTTAGCAAAGGCAAAGACACACCCCACCGTGCCAGTGTTATTGTGTACAACATTCTATAATGGTCAAATTATACCAGACTGAGTCAAAAGCCTGATCTACATGGTATGTTCAGGATGAATTGAAAATGATGGTAAAATACCATACCAACACCACAAAAGAACTATTCTTTCATGTTGTTATGCATTTTATTCTTGTTCTTTTATTTTTTGTTTTGCTAATGAAAAGTTGACTTGTGTTGTGAAGCTATAATTAGATGTGGATTTTCATCTGCTATAGGTCTTTCACTTCTCTAGTTCCCTTACTAGATGTTATAGTTCTTGATTACACAAGGTTCTATACAATGTCTTCACAAGATTAAATAAGCCCACTTAACTATGCTAAGCTAGTTCAATAGCTACCTACACAAACATAAACACTGTGTGCCCTTTCTCTAAGAAACTTCATTTTTTTTTTTACATCAAAGCAACATTTAAATGGAAATGGGAAATCAGATAAATTACATGTAGAAAATTTACTACTAGCTTTATTTGATAAATTACCTTGAATTTGCTGGGTACTGTTATACATAAAAAACTAATCCAGCGAAATTAAAAATAAAAATTTTATTTAGCAATTGAAATCTATCTGACCCAGCCACAAAAGAAAGGACAGTGCCAAGCCCAGGGACTGGCGCTGGGTGAGACACAGGTATGACCACTACAGTAAAGGGTCCCCTATGTTTCACACCAACCATTCTGCCCGAGAAATTTTTATTTTGCTTGAGGCCATGATTTCAGTGATCAGCCTTTTCTTTCCTTCAAAGTCCCACATATTCCTAAAGTTTCCTTTCTCTGCGCTGAGTTGAACAATGTACATCCTTGATGGAGTTATGGGAACATGGTATTGAGATGTATCTTTTGCTGGTTCCAGTGATTCCAGTCTTGGGTCGTTGTTGGGATGATCACTTCTCTGAAGTTCCTGGATCATCTTGAGAAATGACCCATCTCCAGATTATGTGTATTAACTTGTAAAAGAGGTCTTATCAGAGACAGTTTCAACGTATGTGAGGCAAACCCCCTAGTACTGACTTGTATGCTTTTTTAATAATATGAAACATTACATGCATATAATTTTGCAGGTGCAAATTATTTATATTACACATAACAGGTACAAAGGAAAAAAAATAGCTTATCAAATAATATTCCACATTAAAAGCTGATTTGTTATGAAATACTATGAACTGAACAGATTGTTCCTGGTGACCGTGTCTTCCAAAAGTTTAGAACCAATACATTTCTCAGAGTTCCACTCCTTCAGCTTGGTGGTGACAGGGTAGGAGATCCACTGCTTCTTGACATGTGGATGATGCATGTGCCTGTCTAGGGGATGATACAGTATGGCTCTTCCAGCCAGTCTCGCTCTCAAGACTCTCTTTTAAAACTTCATGGCCTTTCTCTGTCTCCCCTTAGCTCTGCCACCAGCCTTAGCAGATTGTCCATCTGGTTGCACCTCAGACAGCTAGTGTCTCTGCAGCCAGCAGGCTCCAGCACTTTTTGCTCTTTTGAGCAGTGCCAGGCTCTGGCATTCCCTGTGCCAAGACCTGGAGCCCCGCACATGTTTGCAGGTGTTTGCTCTGGTTTGCCGCATCCTTTCTGATGCACGCAGATGGACAAATTTGGACTCGTGGAGTTTTGATGAGTGGAAACCAAACCTGAGCTCCTTGGGTGGTGCTTGACCACCATCTGAGCTCAGTACTGGGGCCCTGTGCACCCTCTGGCCGCGGCAGCCCGCGCTGTTCTGCAGCCCGGGGTGTTTGCATGGGTGGGGGTGGCGTGGTTCCTGTGCGGTCCCTGCACGGTCCCTGTGCTGTCAGAGCTCCTCTGGGCCACAGCTCTACCGTGTCCTGCTGGGGCGCCTGTCTCTGCTCCAGTATTGAGGGCTTGCCAGGTAGGAAAGCTCCTCCTGCTCGGTGCCCTGAGGCACAGGGATGTGACTCACTCCAGCTTTGAGGTCCAGGAGGGACCCCAGGCTGGGCAGAGGCTGCTTTGTGATCTGTTCCTAAGCAAGCACCTGAGGATATCTTCACACCAGCATTTGAGGATAAGCTTCAACCTCTTAGAGAATTTCTGTATCTCTCCCCCTCCTTTCCTCTTTCTTCTTCTTGTCCTTCTCTTCTCGTTTTTCCTCCACTTTCCTCAGAAACTTTTGGGAACTTTGACACTGGCAGAACAGCAGCATAGCTCAAGAAGATGAAGTTAAGTTAAGACTAGTTACAGCATCAGGTGTACATGCTCCCTTCCCCTGTGTGAAAGGGGACAGCCTATCACACACAATATATGGCACAGACTTGCACATTTGACATGTAACTTCATATTGTAGTTTTGGGCTCTTCCTGTTTTATACTAATTTATGCTCTATTTTGTCGCTTTCACTTCTCTGCTGCTCAAGACCGCACCTCACAAATAGTTCTACAACATCACCATTTTCTTACAAAATAGTCATGGTTCTGGCCTTTCCTCATAAACTCAGATGCAGCTCAGAGTTCAATGAAGATATCATCAGATGAACTAAAATCAAAATTTCCATGCATGGATTCTAAAAGCAATTATTGAAGTCCCTTCATCTGAAGGCAGTAATTTCTCTAATGGTTATTTAGCAGTCATTGTCCAAATATAGGAACTCACAACATTTCTCATGCCTTTTATTGCAGTGGTTTATCCCCTCTTAAGGGGGATAAAATACTGAGAACAAAATATCACTATAGCATATTATGATATGATTTTTAACTCTGCTAGGATCTCTGTGTATGCTTATGCATAAACAACAAAAATGTTCTCTGAAGTTTCATGTGGGGAACCCCACTGACACCTTATGCTTCTCAAGCTGTAGGAAAAAATTGTGACCTTCTTGTCCTCAACCATACAACCAAGGGAGCTGCAGCCAAGACCTTTATTGGTCTTAAAGAATCCTTCATGCTACAAAGTTAGGCAGATGGCAGTGTTGATCCAGATCAAATAACCCTTTCAAAACCCAACAGATTTAAATGTCAGAATAAAGCCACTTCAAGTTCTTGGTGAAATTAAAAAAAAATCCACAAGACTGGATGGAAACCTCACTATTCTCTGACATGCCCCAATACTTGTAGTCATGTACAGTCCAGACTGAAGACTCCTGGAAAAGATGAGAAATAGAAACAGTTTTCAATGTGGCTGGAGAAAACATATGGTTACCAGGCTGTACTGCCAAGAATCTTGTCTGTGAGGAAGTAAAACTCAGGTAATAACTCAGTGGGCATACTTTCCTCTCAGTGGCTCAAGATTAGTATAGTGTTTGCAGTCTCTTTGGAGGAGAAAAGCAGAAATGCTGACTTTTACTTGAGCTCCAGGAACTAGACAGTATTATGAAGACATCCAGAAAAGCACTACTAGTGATGGTCCACTCTGGGACCAGCACAATATCAAACCAAACTAGACAGATGGGAGAAAAAACTTGGCTCCATGTTTTCTGTGCCCAGGAATGAGACAGCACCATGATAGAAATAATGGAGACACATCATTAGTCATATTAGTAGAGTCAAATGGGTTTTCCCAGAGTCCTAAATAGAAGGATTTTTTTTAAGACTGGATAACCAGTATTTCCTGTGTTGCAGCTGTAATTATTGGGAATGGAGGCAAGTGGAGCTCTAAGGAAGGCAGTGGTTTAAAAATAGGAATGTGTAAATGAGACAAATATAACACAGACATTAACTCAACAGATCACAAACAAATTGACCTACAATGACAGAAAAAGTGAAAAGAAATAGCTTTCCAAGTGATAGAAATTGCAGCAAGAAGCAAAAAGAATTGCAAATTTTAGAGGAGACACTTAATTGACATTGCAGACAATTAGTGGGAGGAATTGCATGTCTAGAATGTTAAAAGCATTACTTTTAACCTGGTTAAGAGAAATAAAACAGGTATAACACAAGTGGAACAATTACAGCATGCGTCACAGGAATCATTGCTCACCTTAGAGACTTTAAACTACAGTCCAGAGCACAGACACACACACACATACACACACAAACACTCACAACAGGACTGAACATTAGCTATATCACTTATTAATCACCTATGAATTGGTTTGATTCTCCTTTTTCAGCTCTTATTTTTTTCTATGCTTGACACATAGAAGAAGATTGAATGTTGTAAGCCAGTGAGAAGAGTACCTGTGTAGACAATAAGAATTGTTTTAGGTTGCTATTCTGAAATTTGCACCTTCAACTTGAATGTTACCTGATGTTGCTGGATCCTGTCTGCTCTGTTCCTAACCCTTCAGACTGCTAAGTGGTATTTTCTCTGGGTTTGTTTTGTTTAGGTTTTGGTTTGGGTTTTGTTTGGTTTGGTTTTTTTTTTTTTTTTTTTTTTTGGGGGGGGTGTGGTTGTGTTAAGCTTTCTGTAAATGTTCACACACTTTATTTTGTGTTAAAAGGTAACTGAGAAAAAGTTGGGTTTTTTCACCCTAAAGTTTCATTATCTATGTTCCCACTTGTAAGTCTTCAAGGTCAAAGAGTTTTAACTATTCTAGCTCTTTCTGAATCATATAAGGCAAGATTCAGGGATTAGTGACAGTGACAGTGATTAAAAGGAGACAGTTCTTCTGTTGCATATGAGGATGGTTTTGGGCAGATTCATTTGAAAAAAAGGACCAGACAAAAGAGAAAGAACAAGCATGGCATTGTCAGTCTTTGAGAAAAGTTTTAGATGGTCAAAAAGCTACAATTAAGGTAGAGATATTTTTTTGGTCAAATGCTCCTATTACATAAATACAGACCAGATAGAAGTTATATGTACAAAAAAGAGACAAGGAGGAATATGTACAATTAATATGTTGCCTAGCTCAGATTATAGGAAGGCCAGAAGAAGAAGAAGCACACTAATCTTATAGCAGATAAACACTTGAGACAATAGGGTCAGGTAACTTTTTCCCAAGTCATTAGGTGAATTTTCTGTGGAATGTTCTAGACAGTTAATTTTATACAGAAAATAAGTTCTAGCAGAGTCCGGGGAAAATGTCTGATGCCTAGAAGATCTGCAACATTGTCCACACTTCAGCCGGAGCAAACAGAATGACAGATGGTGGCTTAATTTGATAGCAATCTCAGGCAAAATAGTGGAAAATCAAATAATCAATTGTAGGAGATTCAGCCAACAGAAAATGAGCCATCTTGCATCTATCATGGCAACACATCTGCCACTGCTGTTCTTTAATCTGTCCAGATGCTCAGGGAAGATTTTTTGCTTTGCAGACAAGATGAGATACAGCTAATCTCGAAAGCTAAGGTCTTTGTGGTATTACCCCCCAGCCTTCTGTATTCTTCATGTTCCTTTCTCCCTTTCTTCCATTTTCCAGAGTCAATGCTCTTTAGTTGTAGCTGGAGAAATGGCTTATCCATTGAACTTGGGAAACAAGTTTTGCTTGATTGAATTAGTAGTGGCAGAAGGTAAAGATTACTTGAAGTCTTGAATGGTGGTGGTAAATTGTGCTTGGCTCTTTGTAAAGTTACAGTTGAAAAATGGGTGCTCTAAAATGTCTTCAAAGTGCTGGCTATGTGTTGGAATATTTCATCTAAGATAATAGGAAAAATGTTGCCCAAAGTCTAAAAAATCACCTTCAGCTGCAATTGCTAGAGCTCCAGTGCACAGCAGCTTGCTTGTAACCTAAGCAAAAACATGAAATAGACTCAATTACAGAGTACATTTGCATGATAGCAGCAGAAGACTGTTAACAAGATACAGTGCATTTGAGAAATCAGCAGAAAGCAGAAATGCACAGCAGAATCCTCACTGAGGTAACCCCCAAACTGTGAAAATTCAATCATAGAAGAAATACTTATTTGACCTAACTACAAATTCAAATACATACTGCACCAGTCCTAAAGTATGAGATCTGTAGCACCCAAGGACCCAGTTGAGTTTTGAAGACCAATCATTCTGATCAGATAAAAGAAAACAGAACATGTTGTTAGTCAGAGGGATGTATGCATATGCATGTGTGACAGAACATCTTGAGCTTCTTAGCTTTTGAGAGAGAACTCTTTCTTCAGGAAGTTTTGAGATACCGAAAGTATGACATGAGTGTGTCACAGCATGAGTCAGACATTGAGTGGAAAATGGGCTAGCAAGGTTTTTCAAAGTATAAACTGATTTAAAAAACAGAGTGAATAAACAGAAAAGAACCTTACATGGATAGGATTAGAAGAGACTGCATGCTTTTAAGCAAATAGTCATGGCACAGAGGTGTCCCTGGTCTCTTTTCTAAAGGGCTTTTGTAACCCAGCCTGGAAGAGATGACAGTACCAGTGCAGCCATCTGCTCAAAACAGCAGCAGCAAGGAGGCCAGATCATGTGGCCTGGGGCTTTCACCAGACCAGTTCTGAAAGTTCCAAGAACACAGACCCCACTGCCTCTCTTAGCAACCTGCTCTACACTGGATTGTCCCTATAGGGAAAAAGGTTTCCCATTGTATATAATGTGGACTCCTCTTGTTTCAGCTTAGACACACACTCTTGCATCCTGCTGCTTTGCAGTGTTGCAGAAAGCATGGCTTCATCTTCTCAGTGACCTGCCCAGAGGCAGAAGGGGAGTCTCAGGTGCCCTCCCTTCTCCAGACAGAAGCATCCCTGTCTGTCAGGCTCCCCTTGCCAGGTTCACTCTACCTACTCGCCCTCTTCTTCTGGTTTTGTTATTCCATAAAAAAGCCAAAAAGATGCTCCCATTAATTTCAGAGATTTATAATTTAAAATAGACTACTGTTGATCTGATAGTATTAGGAGAGAAATATTGTGTTCATTGCTTATACAAACCTGTAACAGCTCCATTGGTCAGGCAATATTAGTAAGGAAGTAATCATTTCCATTTCAGCATACTCAAAATTGTTGGTCTTAGTATCTTGTAAAAGACTGCTACTAGTTATGGATAGAGGCAATTTTGGCTGGAGAGGATATAAATTCATCAAATGTTTTCAGAGTAATAAGTAAGATTTATTTTCTAATTTGGGAAGTTGATCAGTTAATCTGGGCCAAGTACTACTGAGGAGAAGAAACACCAGTAAAACAAAACAAACAACCAAAAATAACCACCACCACTAGCCTGTGTGTGAATATTCATTTAAGATTGTACAATCATTTAATCTGATCACAATGGGATTTCATTGTATTCATAAATACAATATTTGTGAGTATTCTGTTCATTTACTCTATTAATTTACTCTATTATTCATTTATTTACTCTATTAATTTACTCTATTTTTCATTTATTTACTCTATGGTCTGACAAGAAAAGCAGTGATAAGGTGCTTGGAGCTGCAAACTCCTTGGCCTGGCAACTTAGACTTAAATGCCATTCAACATATGCATTCTATTAAAACAACTCAAGAAAATTGCTTTTTAGGACTACCTACTCATCAAAGCAATTATTTCAAAAAAACATTTAATAGTAAATAGGAATGAATAGTAGACACTAAATGAAATAGATCTCAATTTTTGGACAACAGAAAGTGAAAATACATTGTTCCAAATATGTGTCAACTTCTCCAAGCCCCACATGCAAATCACTTACTCTGAAATATCAATTCCCTCCTTCACCTCTTCTTTTTTATGTTTAAGCCAAAACACTGGGCCCAATGTAAGTTGCTTCTTAAAAATTTGCTTCAGATTAAAGTAATTGATAATTGTCACCATATTTTATTTTTGATGTGTTGGAAACAACAGAAATATTACAATAGAGATATTACATTCCCAGAATACATCTTCTTAAATGGGAATCAGATTCACCCATAATGAATAAACCCATGATAGATGCAATGCACATTGTGCTCAGAGAAAGCAGTTCTCTTCCACTTTGAAAGGGGCCTTATTAACTAATTACACAGTAATAATCAGAACATGCTGATCCCAGCAAGTAATGACCAGAAGGGTGTGATTTTTGTCCCTACGCACCTTAACCCAGCAAGCCCTGAGTCATTCATCCTCAGGAAACTGCATTATTCTTATTGGCAAATTAAACTGCATATGAGAGCAGAGCCTGCAGGTGTATGGACAGCTTAATTTTATTGGCTACTGTGGAAATAGCTACATATACAGCAAAGGGAATGAATGCCATGTATGTCAAATGTTGTGTATGTCAAATGTTATGTATGTCAGATTAATTGAGAATAATCCCCAGACATTCTAGTTGCTTGATAATCGTAACAGATTTTCCAGTAGTAACACAACAGGTTTCATTTCACACCACTATACTTATTACAGTCTTTTTTATTTTATTTTATTTTTTTTATTTTTTTTTTTTTAATAACAGTGGTCTATATGAAACCTGAAATCTTTGGTGCTTACTGATTTCAAAATAGTAATTGCAGTCATTCACATAACTACAAAAACTTTGAAGAAGTAAAGAGCAAAAAAGGAATTAGCTGAATTTTTCCTGCTGCCAGCAGGACTTGCTTTCACAGAGAGGAGTGTCTCCCACTAATTAACAGCAATTAGAACCACAATCCCAAAGTTCTTGTAGAGCTGTGGAATGGCAAGTCCTCAGTCAACAGCCTCTTTCCTGAGGGAAACAACCATTAGGAAAGGGCACAGCCTCTTTCCTGCTGAATATGTTTTTCCTTCAACATGATTTTCCACGGCATAAAATATAATAGAACTGCTTCGTGAAATCTCAGCTAGACTAAGTAATTTCTTGCAACATGGTTTTCCAAGACAAAATATAAGGAGCTGAACATATTCCCAGACTTGAAATACTATTACATCTAAAACTCGAGCTAATGACTTGTTTTGTGAAAAGTAGCTTTAGAATGTGGTTTCTTCAGCTCTGCATTTTTCAGCAGCAGTTATTACTGGAGGTTTAACCAAGTCATGGACTGATACTGGCAGCAATGGCTTGGTCACATTTGTCAGCACAGTGGGACACCATTGTGGTAACCTTTCAGACAAACACAAGTGGAACATATGCTCTGGACTTGTGCCATTTTTAGAAACAATTGTCTTATTTATGAAAGAAACAGTATCAAAGCATTGAACATACCTTCTTGAGAAAGACAAGCTGAATGAGAAAAATTGGAAAGCTGCTACTCCTTAATCTAGTACAGAAATATGAGAATGAACAATTCTATGGTGTCATTCAGCCAAGGTGCTCCAAGGGGTTTAATTAAACATATCTTGAATTTTTTACTTGTCCAACATTTGTAATTTTAGAAAACAATATTTTATATTCACACATTAAGTTTGATTTTATCTGAGTAGACTGTAGATTCAAAGGCTAGTAGTATTTTTCCCGTCATTATGTTATCCCAGTCCCTAACAAGCATTCATTGACATAATTTAATTTCCTGTGAATAAAAGACAAAAGCAATATTTCAAGCCGTAATTTTACAAACAAGATAGCAAGGTCCAGAAATAATTAAAAAATGGACAAGAAAAGCCTGGGGACAGCAACTTGATCGCAAGATCTGCTTCCTGCTTGCCTGGCCTGTTTCCTTGCCTACTGCAGGGTATGAACATACATAAAAGAAGGTTTGGTGTCCTTTTCTTGGATTTTTTGTTTGTTTTTTAATTGTGTTGTTGGTGGTTTTGTTTTGGTTTTTTTTTTTGGACGGTTTTTTTGTACGTGTTATAACCACAGAATGGTTTGGGTTGGAAGCAGCCCTAGAGATGATGTATTTCCAACCCCTTTGCCATGATATTGGTTTTAACTCCAATCTCTGATCATAAAGAAGAATGTGCTTGCTATACACTTCACAGTAAGGCTCATGTTCAGCCCACTCCTCCCTCTTCTACAGGGATACTCAACTGAAGATTCCCTGCTCATCTCAAGAACCTGTCCCAGAAGCATTATCTTGCTTAGAGCATGGAATTTTCTGGATGATAGAGAAGTCCCTCAAGCCGAAAGCTCATGATGACTCTGGCAGTGACTTTGTCAATGAAGATGAGGATTGTTGAATTCTGATATGAAATTGAATTGCTCACCTTGGATATCATTGTTTTTGAGACACATTAGCTGCATGCTATGCAATCATAGGCTTCTCACAGCACTCATATTAAGACAGGAAAAAGGAGTTGTGAGAACCTATACTAGACATTACTAGAAATAAGGATCAAAAGAGATGTTTCTTTGCTGGAAAAACAAAATAAAAAGAAAGTTTCTGGACTACCTGAAAACTTCCTGACCAAAACATGAACACAATGCTATACTTACTTTGCTAGCCTGTTTTGAGCTGCTTAAAATACTGGTGAGACTAAAAGATGAATTTGGATCCCTGAGTGTTTCCTAACACTGGTACAAATCTACTAATGCTTATGTAAGTCTTGTCTAGGTAAAAGCACCACCAATTGGTCTCTGCCCATAGGTTTTGAATTTCCAAGACCTTTGGTTTCTGCCAAAAGGAAAGCATGGAAAACTATTTGTCATCTCTACAGAAGCATGGCATAAATGTCTTGCTTCACATCCCTCAGGATGCACAGTGGGAGGGAGGGAACAAAGTGGAGAAAGTAGAGCCTGGGTGACTCACTAATATACAGACCTTCATAAGCAAAAGTGTCTGTCTAACCAGGATCCAGAAAGTTTTCTCTCTGTCCATGGAGATTTTCAAGTCCTCACTTACAGCCTATGACACACCTTGATATTACAGGGTGGCAGCGTTCCACAGAGGTGTAGGTACTTTTTATCTCCCATGCTATGGACAGAGATTCAGCAGACCAAGAACAGCCTTCTGCATTTCTGTTGGGAGGGGGCAGATCTAAGCTTCAGTAAGGCCATTTCTTGAGTTTGTTATGTCTAGGCAAAAATCACAATAATTTTGTCTTAGAAACAAGAAGAGAACCCTGAGAGCATAACTGTCAGGCAGGACTAATCACTCTGTGTGTCCCACAGAGCTGTTAGAGTAGTTAGGATTTGCCTGATACAGTTGTACCTGAGAGATTATTTATATACCTGTTGCAATGACAACACAGAAAGATATAAAGAATCATCAGCTTTGCTTATTTTGAGTCATAATTACTTTTCTTCAGTGATGCTGATCTCTGATGTTTTTTGCCCCCACTTTTAATAAACTTATGACAAAACAATGAAGAATTGTGGGGTCACTGAAGTGTAGTGGATTAACCTGGGCAGATGCCAGGCCCCCAGCAAAGCTGCTCAGTCACTCCCCTCTGCAGCTGGGCAGGGGAGATAAAATTTAATGGAGGGTGCATGGGTTGAGATAACTGGGAGAGACCACTCACCAAATGCCATCAGAGGCAAAACAGGCTCAACTTAGAGATATGAAGTTTCTATGAACAAAATCAGAGCAGAATAATGAGAAGTAAAAGAAACCCTTAAAAAGAGCTTCCCCACCCTATTCCCTTTTCCCCAGCTCTACCTCCTACCCCAGCAGTCTTATCAGCAAAATAAACCCTTAAAAATGGCTTCCCTTACCCCTCCCTCCTTCCCAGCTCTACCTCCTACCCCAGCAGTGCAAGGAGACAGGGAATGGGGATTGTGGTCAGTCCATCACCCATGCTTCTCTCGCTGCTGAGGGAGAGTTGTTTGTCCTGCTGCACTGCAAGGTGTCTCCCATAAAATTCTCCAACATAACTCCATCCCATGAGGAGCAGCGCCCCTCAGACAGCTGCAGCAGTGGGTCACTATTCCATAGGGTAGAGTCCTCCAAGGACAGGCTGCTTCTCCTGGGAGCAGGGCCCCTCTCTCCATGCATTTCTCACAGGCCCCTTAGGCACACCCACCTGCTCTGGTGTGGTTCCTCCAGGGGCTGCAGGTGGATCTCTGCTCCCCCTGCCCCTCCCTGTGCTGCAGGGGCAGAGCTGCCTCACCAAGGGCTGCACCAGGGGCTGCAGGGGAATCTCTGCTCTGGCTCCTGGAGCAGCTGCTGCCCCTCCTCCTTCACTGACCCTATGTCTGCGGGGCTTTTCTCCTCACATCTTCTCACCCTGTTCTGCTCTTGCTGAAATGAAAACAGTGTAACATTTTGTTTTGATTTCTTCTTAAATACATTCTCACAGAGGTGTTATCACTATACCACTATTTCTAATTGGCCCAGCCTTGGTCAGTGGCATGTACATCTTTGGACCCATCACAGATTGGCTCTGCTGGACATGGTGGAAGCTTCTGGCAACTTCTCACAGAAGGCACCTCTCTGCTTCCCCTCTGCTTCCTCTCTGCAACCCCCCCCCCCCCCCCCCCCCCATGCACCATCAAAATAAGGTTGTGCAGAACCAATATATGAAGAAATGCAGCTGGGTTTGATCTGGCATGGTCAGGTTCTGTAGTATTTCCTCAGTGAATCAACATGTTAATCTCTCTGGTAGTGAATTTTCTTCTGTGTTATTTGAAAATTCTCAGATTTTGTTTTTCCTGCAAAGTACTATCTCAAGACTTTCAAGTAAAAGGCCAGCAGTCTGATTTATCCTTTACTAGGTGATAGATCTGCTTCTGAGGTTTAACCTTCAACAAAAATAAGGGGCAAACTTCTGAATCACAGCTAGATTGTCTTAGCATAATATATTAATTATATAATTTTAAAATTGCTACGTATTTTTGGGCTAGATTGAACAATGTAGAGTTTCATAGAACTGTAGAGCTCTGAAAGTGCATAAGGGCTCCCTCTGCCACCTGCTGAAATGCAACCATCAGTGAAGACAAGCCATGTCTTACTGCAGTGTGTTGGCAACTGGGCTCAACATGTTCAGGGAGGGTGCAGCTGCCGGTGCCAGGTATGGGAATAAACAGGACAGGTCTTTGTTTCAGAAAGCTTGAGAATCCACTTATTACCCCTGGGGAGGAAGGGAGGGATGGAGATGAAAGACCAGGCAAAGGCAGGCTCCTGGAGTTTTTATTTGATATCGCAGGAGTGGAGTTAGGGTTCGGGTTAAGGGAGGAGATACTAGCAACACAAGATGGGTAAGATCAAATTCCTGTCTCTTAGGAACTGGGGCATTCCACAATCTCTGTCACAGACAAGAGTAAAACAAACATAGCTGGCAGATATCTCCACCTTAGAGAGATGAGGGCACCAAGTCTGACAAGTGAGGATGCTGACAGCTGGAATAAAACACCAAGAGACACTGATGTTCAACCATCACTTGGCCTCTCTAAATCAAGACTGGGTATTTTTCTGGAAGATAGATCATAAATAGATCAATGAGTCAGGGTGAAGCTTTACAGCATCTGGCATATGGGTCAGACTAACTAAAGGTGTCTTCCAATTTATATTGATTAATCAGCTAACCAGAGGAGTGAATGACAGATCATGCATTCAGTGAGAACCAGAGGCAGGAAACAAGGCAGGCAGGGTGGATGAACTCCTCACCTTCTACTGTGCAAATCCCTGCCCTTTAAATAAATAAAGCCGTAACATATTGTATAGGAAGGTACACAGAATCCTGATTTAGCCCCTGTGCGGTAAGGCTTTTTTCCTCAGGAAGCTCTCTGTTTCTCTCCATGCTTTTTGTTTGTTTATTTGTTTTATTATGAGACAAAGGGTAGGAGAAGTATGCAACTTTGTTTTGTAGCTCATGGTTTTATATCCTACATTTGAAAATGAAATGTAGCATGAAATTTACTTTTTTAGTAATGTGAAATTGGATCAAGTAAAAGCAATTTCTGTACTCTTAGCAGAGAGAGCCCCTTAAAAAAGGCTGAAAAGGCCTCCATTCAGTATTAAAAAAATAACCATCAGATTTGGACCTTGTCTCACTGTGATTTTATTACAATATATGAGTGATATTGAATTATAGATTGATCACCATATCAAGCCACAAAATTATTATATTTTCCTTTTGCTCTAATATATTGTTCAAATTTTTTCTCTCTCTGACTCAATAAAAGGCCTCAGACTCTACACAGCTGCAGCTAAAAGAACTTCCACCATAAAACATTGGCTCTGTTTGCAGCAACTAGGACAATGGTTTTTATTTTAATAACAGTGTTCAGTGATTCATGTTAATAAAAAAATCCTCAAGAAGTGTAGGCCTTCAATGCTTGGATCTTTTAAAAATTAATTATTCTCCCATTTGATTATGATAGTACAGTTCAGAAATCGCTAGAAAAAGTGTCATATTATGACAATTACTGTTATTCACCCTCAAGCTAGCAGAGCAGATCAGCTGCCTGGGAAGTTGCAGCAAAGTAAGGAGGAAATATCATAGCCTCTTACCCAGTGGCTTCCTCTTGCACTTGGTCCTGCTGTGCAAGCTGGGTGACGAAACAGGAGCTGTCACAGCACTGCCCAGCTTCCATCTGCCTGGCAGCACCATGCAGCAGCATATGCTCTGCCACAGCCCACAAGGTACAAAACAGCCCCGGGGTACAAGAAGAGAAGCTCTTGAAAGAGATGCTATTTACCAACCCCATCAAAAAAACCACAACAAACCAGACGTCCTCAAATAAAACAGCTCGGAGACTAAACTGATCCCTAGAAGTCATCCAAAATACGCTCCTCACAGTGAATATTAAATAGCTAATACAGACGAGTTGGCAGAATAAGTGAAGTGTGGGTTCCACCATGCATCCGTAATGCTGGCAGCCTGTGCATGGGGAAAACAAGCCCACTCAGAGAGCAACTCTTTTCTTTGCATACTTCTGCATTGCCATGCAGAATACCTAGCAATACTGCTGAGCCCCTGCAGTTTGAGTAAATAAACAGTTCCAGTTTGTAATTAGTATGAAGCAAAATTATAAAATATAATGAAAAATGAGACCTTCACCAGGCCATAAATAATTGCTTCTGACACAATACTGAAGAGTGATCTGTCCATGTACAAGAACAATGCAGGACAAACAGCAAACTATGCGAGCTTTTATACATGAATAAATTAAAATTATTACACACACATGCATGGTATACACAGTGATTTCACTGACGAAGTTGCTGTTTCTCTGAAGCCATAGTGGTGGAATCACCAAACTCAGACAAGTACTCAGATGCTTGGCTTCACCTGCTCAAGCAGCCTTACCACAGGAAAAGGATTAGCAACCAGTAACAGCTTAGGCAGGTGCAGAATGAGCTCCCAGACAGCAAAACTGCTTTTAATTTTGAGAAAGTCTGTTTCCATGGTTTCTACAAAAATATTCCAGGTAACATCAAACCACTTACTCATCCTATTTCAGTGATATTCCCTCTCTTGATGCCAATGATGCAAAAAAATCCTTGCCCTAGCATTCATACCTTTCAACTGGAGATTGTCCATTCCATGTCAGGGAGCCACAGGCTGAGCTCCTTACACTTTGCCATTTTGCAGAAGAGATGGGTGATGGTGCCCAGGTCACTATGGCTTGCTCATCCACAAGCCACAGGAATGGCTCAAGGCATCACCACATCACTGGAGCTCTAAAACTTCCCAGCTGCCGCTCCAGGATGCAGATTCCCTCCTCCCCTGCCACATTTGGTCAACAGCACTTTGTATCCCTGCTGTCAGCTGTTAAGACCCCATGGACCCCAAGGGCCTGCCCAGATGCCCATAGCACTAGGAAACGTCACCTAGAAGGGTGTGAGCACACAGCACCTGCCTGAGTGCCCAAGCCACCAGCTATGGGCTCCCCTGGAACACCACTTTGTAAAGGATAATTAAATACTCCTGAGGATGGGGAGAAGGTGAGCACAGCCATGCTTAGAAGTGTGGTTGGAGCTCACATCCTTTGGGTTATGGTCTTACCTCATCCAGGGGCTAACATTAAACAATATTATTACAAAATAGAAAAACATAATCTGGATTTAACTTTTCTCTTTTTCTTTTTTTTTTTTTGTTTGTTTTGTTTTGTTTTGTTTTTATTACAATAAAAGTAATTTCTCCACAGTACAAATTAATGTGGAATTAATGTGGATTACAGTAAGCACACATCAAAATGGGTGGCTGCTCCCTGTGAGAGCATGAAACATCCTGGAGCATTTAGCCATTGGAAACTATTTGCAAACAGCAGTGGAATTTTTCTCTTGAAACAGAGTATAGATAAACTAAACAACAAAAAGAAGAATTTTGAAGGCTAGGAGGTATGTGTTTGGCACTACAGCAAAAGGTGCAAACTGCCAATAACTGTGTCAGGCTGGAAGCGGGAGGGCAGTGGTAAGCCACAAGAGTCTCTGGAGTAGTCCCTCAGCCTGGACAACAGGCAAGATGACATGCAGAAGTGGGCTTGGTAGACATGTGAATAGGAAAACAAGAAGCGATAGACAGGGATAGTGGGAGATTGTATTTGATAGCTCCGGAAGGCTTGATTTCTATTTGCGCATCTGCAGGCAGACAAAGTTCCATCCGAAGTTTACTTTGTTTTTCATAGTGCTGATGCTGGGTGGCATGAAAGAATGGTACTTTTA